CCACGGGGAGGTGACCCTGCGGTGCCGGGCCCAGGACTTCTACCCCGCGGACATCTCCCTGACTTGGCAGAGGGATGGGGAGGAACAGCTCCAGGACACGGAGTTCATTGAGACCAGGCCGGCGGGAGACGGGACCTTCCAGAAGTGGGCAAGTGTGGACGTGATCTCGGGCCAGGAAGAGAAATATACCTGCCGAGTGCAGCACGAGGGACTGCCTGAGCCCCTCACCCTGAAGTGGGGTAAGGACCATGACCCCAAAAGGCCAGAGGGAGGTGGGGGAGGGGTTAGTGAATCTCAGGGCCTCTCACTGCCCTTCTCCATTTCAGAGCCAGAGTCCTCATTCCCCTGGTTCATTGTGGTGGTCATTGCTGCCCTCCTCCTCCTCATTGCAGTCATTGCTGGAGTTGTGATCTGGCAGAGGAAGAATTCAGGTGGGCAGCACTGGGAGGGGGCCCTTAGGGAGCAGGTGCCATGGAGATCCTGGCTTCCCCTGAACTGCAACTTGGCTTTCTGTCCCCAAGTCCTCTCTTTCCCATCTAAGGGACTGTCAGATGGACCCTGAGACTCCAGATGAACAAATAGAAACCATTTTTCTGAAGGATGCCAGACAGACAGGTGTATAACAGGCTGGCCTAGTGGGGCATCTGCTTCAGACTCAGATCAGCAGTGAATATGGGGATCTCTGCCAGAGGGCCTGGGTGTTCCCCAGCTGGGGGCTGTAGACCAGCCTTGGGAACCCCTGGAGGCAGGCCTGGAGGTGGGGAAGTGCCCATTTGGGGGGCGTCTTCTCTCTTCCTCTTGGATCTAGAGGCTGGACTGGAGTGGGGGATGGGGGTGCAGTCCCAGTTGTAATTTGTTGTCTCCAAGACAAACCAGTGAACTCCTGAGACAGTGTGGTCTCCTCTCCTGGATTCCTCACTGGAAATTTTTTTCTTTTCCAGGTAGAAAAGGAGGGGACTATGTTCCTGCTTCAGGTAAGTGAAGGGTTGACTTGGAGGGAAGAAAGATTGGCCCAGACCATGATATCTCTGGAATCTGAGCAATGGGAAGGCAGAGGAGA